TCATCCAGACTAGATCCTGTAATTAGCACGTGAGCTGCAGGAAATGAAAACCTTCTTCCTTGTACACCAACTCCTGAGGGATGGCACTGCTTTGGCAGTGTCTGCATATGCTGCTAAAACTGCTGCACACAACCACTGATACAGTGTAGGGCTGACAACACCCTGCCAAACAGGACCCCTGATATTTTGTCACTGAGCACATCCCCAGTATCTCTGATCTTCACTGCCTGTAGGGCTTAATAGTTTTTTTTCACCCATTAGTAAGTGGACAGCTGCAGTGCAGCTATCCCAAACTCCCAACATCCATGCCAGTATGCCTTCCCCTCTCTTCTGCTGAGAGATCTCTAAAAATTCCCTTTTGGAGTACAAGTGCCTGGGATATGCACCCCTCCATCCAGCAAGATCCCTCTTCCCCCTCCATTTGTGTGAGGGATCGTGCTTCTACCACCTCCCTTTCTGCTAAATCTGGCTCAATCTCGGAGTCTGAGAAGTCACTGCAGATGTTTCCATCAGATTCCTCAGGATCCCATGAATATGACTGGGAAATCAAAACCTTACTTTTCCCATCTCTGTGCCGTTGTTTGTGAGCAGTGTGTGCCACCAGCTGTTCTACAGTGCATCGCTGCTCATAGCACCACTCTGCTTAAGTGGTAATTACATCTTCTGTGACTGCCTTTGCATCTTGTAAAGTCCTGACTTTTTTTTCCAACCTGCACTTTGTTCTGCAGTGCTGTGACTTTGTGGTCCAAAGCTCTAAGATTGATAGCTATCAGAAATCCCCATCTCCCCGCTAACCTGCAAGAAGATTTTGATGTCCCTTCCCCCACAGAACATGTGCAGTAAACATTTGTGTGCTGGATCTTAAAACAAAGACATAGAGTAAAAAAGTATCCTGACCCTGGGTGGGGATCAGTTCCTGGCCCACCAGGGGACCACTTGCACAACATCTTGCTGACCTGGATGGGGTGGCCATAAGAGGTTGCTGGATCATCCTGCTGCCCCTGAGAACAGAGAATTGACCCCGACAGGATTCCAGCATCCACCAGCCAGTTGGTCGGAGACTCCCCCTGAATCCTCCTCAGCATCATGACAGTGAGCAGCTCCAAGGTGAAATGCTCCAGAGATATTGAAATAAGGGTGGAAGGGGAGATGGAACTCTTTGATTTGCAAGTGCTCTGTTGTTCATTTTTCAAATTCCTTTTGCAGAAACTTGTAGGTTTATCAGTGTAACCTGTCAGTGGGATCAGTCCCCACATAAGTCACGAGGAGACACTCGGCAGTGAGCCTTAATCAATCATTGGGATGGGAGCAGTGTAACTACTGAATGTCCAGATCTAAGGGTAAAGGACTTGGGTAACTTAAATATTATTAAATTGAATGATGGGAACAAGCCAATCCACAGTTCCTCCCTGTAGCCCTCTAGGATGCATACTGAAAAATTAGACTAAATTTGGGGGTGATCCAATGACAAAAGAAAAAATTAAGAGATTTTGTAGTCAACGGTGGCCACATTATTAATTGGAGGATGGGAAAAAAGGTCATTGCTGTTTAATATTATCTTACAGTTGATGCTGATTTGTCAATGACTTGGTAAATGGGGTGAGGATTTTTTTATGTTGATGCTTATATGACATTGTATAGAGATCCAGATACTCACAAAAAGAGTAAATTGGGAGGAGATATAATGCTGTATGTTGAGGAGAAGGAGAAAAAGCAAGGGATTGTAATGTTGCGAAGGGGATGAGCTGGAAGATGTACAAATGTTATCCCCCTCCTTTCCACACATCCTCCTCCCCCCCATATAACATTGGGGTAGGAACAGATAAAGAAGACACAGAGCAAAACAAAAAACATGTGGGAAATGAGAATTTTAGTCCTATTGCAGGACAGACTGTGGGACATCCCCAGGCAGAAATACAGACATCTTTAAAACAAGCAGTGGGGGTAGAGCTCTGCCACTTTTTGTACATGTCCCTTTTTGCTACTCAGGGTTTGTTGAGTTGGAAATCCTGGAGGAATATATCAGCTTTTGGCAACAGTCAGGCTGACTCATAACCTTACTGGGGGGATAGCAGGCTATACTGAAAGCTTTCTTTACTGCAGAATGGTGTTAGGGAAGGAGAAAGAAGAGGAATGGGCAGGAAGTTTGGGGGTCTGAAAGGATCCCCCTCTCTCCCTGCCTTCCTTGGCCTGAATATGCGACTTGTTGACAGGAGGGCTCAGTTAGAAGATGTAAATGTTATGGTGAGGGAGGGTTTTGAGGATGAGGGAAGGGGGCCATATACACCATAATGCCCCCTTCCCTTGCTGGAATGAAATATATTTTGTAACCTAAATGCACAAGTAACCTTTGCTGAGATTTCCATGCAGCTTCACATTCTACTTGAGACAGGCTGGAAAGCTCAGGTTTGCCTTTTAATGGGTAAACTATGAGAGGACATCAAAGAAAATATTCCAGATGCCATTTCAAATGCGGTGATCCTCACAGGCTTCAGGAAAACCAGGTAAAGCAAAAAATCTGTCTCCAACTAGGAGAGAAAGTTCAGAAATGAGAGCTGAACTGTTAAGAGTAAACCAATATCCTACAAAGAAGCACAAAAAGGTCTGGAGCCATTGATAAACACACTCTTAACAATTCAGCATACTCAGACAATGTCAATCTGAATTTTAGGTGCCTTCCTACTGGTAAAGAAGCCTCGTTCTCAAGAGTACAGATTAGTACAAGGCTTAAGAGCAATCAAATAAGGACAAATATACACCCAACTGTACCAAATCCTTACACTTTGTTAGCCTGGGTGCTGGAAACAAACTCCTGTTTTACTGTTTTGGCCTTAAAGGATGATTTCTTTTGTATCCCAATAGAGGAGCAAAGCCAAACAATCTTTGCCTGTGAATGGGAGAATTCTGTGACTGGAAGAAAGGTGCAGCTTTGTTGGATGGTGCTCCCTCAGGCATTCAAAAATAAGTCCACCTTATTTGGTGATTTTGGCAAAGGAACTGGAACGGTGGGAATAAGGTAATGGTGTTCCTCTTTTACAGTCTGTAGATGACATCCTAATCGGAGCTGACAAGGAACAAACCTGCTTGGAAGTGATCATAAGGCCTGCAGAACTTTTTGGGACTTGCTGGGCATCAAGTTTCAAGAAAAAAACTCAAACTGCATAAAGATAAGACCAATACCTTGGCTTTAAGGTGTCAAAAGGACAATGAGCTCTGGGAGAAGACAGAAAAGAAGCAATATGCTGAATTGCACTTCCTAAGACTAAGAGACAACTAAGAGGACTTTTGTTAGTGGCAGGATTTGCCACTATTTGGCCCCATATTGATCCCAGATTCTGAACTAAAAGCCAACCCTCTGTGTTTGCCCATCAAAGACCCTGAAGAATTGCTGGAATGGACCTGAGAATGTTGAACCAGCTTTGACATCATGCAGAGGATGCTCATGGGAGTGCCAGCTTTGAGCCTTCCAGATACAGCTAAACCTTCTCCATGATACAAAAGGCAGCAGGGAGCCTCTGGGGTGATGACACAGCTGATGGAAGTTGGCAAAGGCCAGTGGCATCCTTTCCAAGCAGCTGGATGGTCAGCATGCTTATGGGCTGCTGATGATACAGGAGGCCCAGGCATTCACTTTGGGGTGGCCCCTGACTGGACTAGTCCCATGTACCATGCTGGCTGTTTGGAATCTAAAGAGACATCTCTGGATCTCTCCAAGCCAGCTGGCAAAATCCCAAGTTGTGCTAATGGACCAAGGAGAAGTAGACATGTATGTGACATCAACTTTTAATGAAGCCACTTTGCTCCCTACTGAAAAGCAAGAGCCTTTACAACATGACTGGCTGCACACCATGGAGCAGGTAGATGCAAGTCAAACTGATTTAAAGGTTGAACCTGTACAAGACATGGACCGATGGCAGCAACTTTGTGCAATGCAGGTAAGTTACCCTGGAGGATGGAAAAGAGCAGTGGCATCCCTGGGGTCTGTGCCATGGATCCCTGGGATATACTGCCCCATGGAGCATCACCCCATGCCTGCAGGTTCCTTGCCCTTGCCCAGTGTGCTCCCTTCTTGGCTATGTAGCACAAATACTGGTGGTGAGGGTGGCAGTGCCTGTCCTGCTGGTGGTGAGGGTGGCAGAGCCCCCCGTCCTGCCCCGCACTGGGGGTGCTGGACAACACCACTGCTCTCCCCTGTCTCAGCCAAGACTGAACTGCCAAGAGCAGGCTGAGAACAGTGACAGCAAGCTGAAGGAGGTGGGTGGTCCTGCAGCCACCCAGCAGTGAGGGCAGGGCCCAGTGACAGCAGGATAGTGCCATGGGACAGCAGGAACAGGGGGCCAGGTGCTGGGAGGAGCCCCTGCAGCGCAGCAAAAGCTGAGAGCCCCTGGGTGGGGAGGGGCTGCAAATAAAGCACTCAGTCCTTGAGGCACTGGAGTTGATATCCACCAGTCCATGGGGGTCATGCTGCCCCCGGCTCCATCCCTGCTGTGCCCCCAGCTGCTCAGTGTCCCCATCCCCAGCACCTTGGTGCCACTATCTCCATTCCCAGGGTGCACCCAGCCCCTCTATATCCCTGCCTGCAGCCCTGTGGTGCCCCCATTCCCATCGCTGTGATGCCCCCAACCCCATGCTCCCCCCAGCCTCAGCCCCATGCTGCCCCCCCACCCCTCGATGACCCTGTACCTGCACATGCTGCCATCTCCATTCCCATGGTGCACCAAGCCCTGTCCCCACAATGCCCCCACTGATGCCCCCTCTCCATCTCCATACAGATGTTGTTCCTTGTTCCTTGTCCCTGTGATGCCCCAGCCTTGTGGTACCCCCATCTCCACACCTACAGTGCTCCCATCCCCTCGATGTCCCCAGCCCCACGCCCAGGGTGCCCCCTCCCCACCCCAGACCCTTGATGTCCCTGTTCCCAACCCTACAGTGCCTCCAGCCCCAAGCTGCTCATGGTGGGGGCACAGAATGGACAGACAGCTGGACGCGGGGGGGGTCCCTGCTTCTCCGTTTATTAACAAGCAGCTTTCGTTTAAAAAAAAAAAAAAAAAAAAAAACAAAAACAAAAAACCGAAAACAAACACAGACATACAGACAGGCAGAGGCGGCCCGGAGGGGCAGGGGGGGCCGCCTGCCCATGGTTCGTTTGGTTCCTGACACCAGAGAGGTTCAAGTAGCCGAAAAGGTTCAAGTTCACCATAAGGCACTTTAAAGCCATGACGGGAGCGGAGCTCCCCCAGCCCCATCACCCCTCCCGGCACCCCATGGCGAGGGACAGATGTGGGGGCCGGGCAGCGCTGGCGGGTGGCAGCGGAGGGGCCGGGGGAGGGAATATATTACATCATCTTTTTAAATATAGATAAAACTCTTATTGTAGACAAATAGTGCCGGTCCCCTGCTCCCCCGGGGAGGCTGCGCCCTGCGGGGGGCATGTGCAAAGGGCAGAGGGGCGACCGTGGGGGCGCGGCCACCCCGGGGAGGTGGGTCCCACAGGGCCGGGGGGGTTCGGAAGGGGGACGGGGCCGGGGAGGGGCCGGGGCTGCCCCGCACCCGGGTGGGCTCACCCGAATAGTGCAACCAAGAGAAAGCAGCCGGGAGTGCAGGGGCGAGGGGGGCTCGCCGGGGGGGGGCTGCTCGGAGTGGGGAGAGGGGGACAAGCTATGCACAGCGCAGGGCAGTCGGCACCCCCGCACTGGGGAGAGCACAGGAGGCTCTCCCCAGCTGGGGGGTCTCGGTCCATGGGTGTCCCTGCCCAGTCCTGGCATCCACGAGGGGGGTTTGGTGAGAGGACACCCAAATCCCAATCCCCCCTTCACCCACCTGGGCATGACCAGGTGGGCCCGGGCACGGCGGGGGGTGGTAGGGACCCCCCACCCCCTTGTGCAAATCGGCCGGGGGGGTTTCCCCCTTTGCATAACTGGGAATGAACCGTGATGGGAAAAACGGGATCAGAAACCCCGGTGGGCACAGCGCAGCTCGGCACAGCACGGCCGTTGCATCAGCCCTATGCCGTCTCCACCGGCACAGCGCCATCCGGCTGCGGCCCTTCCTCGCCCTCCGGCTCCTCCTCCTCCTCCTCAGGCTGCCCTGGAGCCCAGTAGCGGGCGATAGAGAGGCGCAGCCCCTCCAGCCGCCCGTTGGAGAGGTCGAGGCCGGGGGACCCGGCGGGCGGCGGGGGCGGCTCATCGCGGCGGCGGCGGCGGGTCCGCACCTCCAGGCAATTCTGGCCCTTGAGGTGCCGCTGCAGGTGGTCATCCTTGGCGAAGGCCTTGTGGCAGAGGTTGCACTCGTAGGGCCGGGCGCCCGTGTGCAGGTGCATGTGGTTCTTCAGGTCGTAGCTGTGCAGGAAGCGGGCGCTGCAGTGCTGGCAGGAGTAGGGCCGCTCGCCCGTGTGCTTCCGCATGTGGATCTTCAGCTTGTCGTTCCTGGAGTTGGGACACACAGGGAGACATCGGCACGGGGCAGCCGGCACGGCACCCAGCCGCGGTGCTGGCAGCCCTGTGGTAGGGATGCTCTGCAGGGCACAGGGGTCCAGCTGCTTGGGGGGTAGGGGACCGTTTTGCAGCTGCATGGTCGGGATGCAGTTTGGTTATGCAGCAGAGGTGCAGGGGGGACGCTGCCGGGCACCCTAGGATGGTCTGGCAGCGCCTATGGAGGGAAGAAATCCCCACCCCAGATCTTCACCACACCATGGCAGGCTGGCACAGGAGGTGCCGTGGGAGATGCCAGTAGGTATCAGGCCTGAGTCGCTTTGGCAGCAGAGTGCAGAACATCCCACAGACCTGACTGCACCAGCACAGATGGCAGGGGGGACCTACAGGGGATGCTGCCAGGTACCTTGAGTCAGTCTGGCAGCACTCATGAGGTGCAGAAGGCCCCATGAACCTCACTGCACCATGGCAAGGGCTGGCAAGGGGTGCCATGGAGAATGCCATTGGGTACCCTAGTTTGACCTAGAGCACCTGTGGGGTGCCAAAGACCCTTTGGATCTGCACTGCACCAGCAGGGCTGGCAGAGGGGTACTATGGAATATGCCACTGGGTACCCCAGGTTGGTCCAGCAGCACTCAGGGGATACAGAACAAGCCGTGGACCGTGCCAGGGCTGTGGCCAGGCCTCAGCAGGACTGGCAGGGGGAGTGCCATGGGGGATGTTACTGGGTACACATCCCACAGGGAGGGTCCGTCCAGCAGCACTCACCGTGTGAATCGGACCCCGCACACTTGGCAGGCGAAGGGCTTCTCCCCCGTGTGTGTGCGCATGTGGCGAGGCAGCTTGCCGGCGCCGTGGATGACCTTGTGACAGACAGGGCACTCCTGGGGCATCTGCGAGCGGCGCTTGCGCACCAGCTTGTCAGGGCTATCCAGCCCAGGAGCCAGCGACTCGTGGTGCAGCGAGCTCAGGTATGCCATCAGGTCAGGGTCGATGGCATCATCGTCAGAGGTGGCCTCCTCAGGGGACAGGGGGGGCTGGTAGGGGAAGGGGAAGGAGTGTGGGTGCAGCTCTTCCTCCTCAGGCAGCTCAAAGCTGTCGTACGGCAGGGGCAGCCCCTCGGGCAGGGGGGGCGAGGGCAGTTGTGGGGGCGGTGGGGGGCTGGCGCAGCCCTCAGCCACCTCTGCGGGTGGCTCCTCGGCATGGTTGTTGAGCCGGGCACCGGGGGCTTGCAGGAACTTGCGGGTCTTCTTGCTGCGCCGGGCGGTGGGGCGGGGTGGCGGCGGGGCGGGCAGCTCACCCTCGGGGAGGGCGGCGAAAGCCTCCAGGTAGCGGCGGGCGCGTTCACAGTCGCTGTCATCGGGGCCAGGCGCCTCCAGCCCGCTGCCCTGCAGGATCTCCACGCAGGCAGCGATGACACAGGGGATCTCCAGCAGCCGGGCGGCGCGCAGCACCTCGCCCATGTTGGCGCTGCTGATGGTCAGCGTGGCCGTGTAGGCGAACTCCAGCAGCGCGCCCAGCGCCTCTGGCCCCACGAAGTCCAGCTCGCAGACCTCCTGCCCCGGCCCCGGCCCTGCAAAGAGCTTCTTGAAGTAGCGGCTGGAGGCAGCCAGGACAGCGCGGTGGGTGCGGTACTCCAGCCCCTGCGTCTTGATGGTGACATCGCAGAGCAGCCCCAGCTGCCGCTGCTCGTTCAGGCAGCTCAGCAGCTCGCTGCTGTGCTCAGGGAAAGGGATGCCGATGAGGTCGTCCTCTGGGCTGGCCATCATCCTCACCTGTGAGAAGGACAGGATGCTGCCTGAGCAGTGCACAAACCACCTGGGAGACAGTGCTTGGAGGAAACACTGCAGCTGGAGCATCGCTGTCGCAAGGCCAGGGCACAAGGAGCCCTCCACGCACACGCTGGGTGGCACTGGGGTTTCACTGGGACACTAAACTGGGGCAGGCTCAGGGCCTGTGGTCTGCCCTCAGCCCCCACTGTGCTCTGTCGAGGTTGGTGGGTGCAGCCCTCCCACCGCAGCCCCCCACGCTTCCTCCATCCACACCAGCACCAGCCACCCGCGCCGCCACAGCAAAGGGGGAAATCTCAGCATGGCACCTTTGAACGTCGCCAAGGTGCAGCACTTCCTGTGTCAGCCCACCCACCACCACCCCCCGGCCCCCCGGCAAGGCCAGGCACAGCCACCGGCTCCCAGCCACCCCCATCCTGGGAACGCGGGCCTCACCGGCAGCGGGCGTGGGTGGGCAGGCGAGTGCCGGGAAGAGGGCCCTGAGGGCCAGGGGCCGCCCCGTGGAGCCCAGCCGGGCTGGGAACGGGGGCCACGCTTCCTGCCACCGCAGATTAGGATCAGCACCCGCGCCGCCGGTTCCTGCCCCCGCTCCTGGTGGGGACTGGGCCCCCTCCCTCCCCCTGTGCCCAAGCCCGGGGCCACTCCTCGCCCAGCCAAGCCCAGCCTGCGCCAGTCGGGCCTTTCCCACGCTAAGGCTGGCAGGGCTTGGCTTCAGACCTAAACCCAGCACTGCTGGCACAAACACCAGCGTCCCCTCAGCACAGAACCAGGGACCCATGCATTCCTGTGGAGACAGCACAGGTGGGTGATGGAGCCTGTGGGAAGGGGGAGCCCATGACCCTACAACAACCTGCAGGCAGTGTACAGGCAGCAGAGGCAGCTCCAGTGCTGCAACCTGCCTTGTGACACCATGCACAGCCATGGGCAATGCCCTCGCAGCCAGAAGGGGCTGCTTTCTGACACCTGCACAGCTGGGTGACATCCGCATGGGAGTCCAGTGACTGCAGCTTGAGGGAGGCAGAGGCACCAGCACTGCCATGCTCTCCTGCTGTCAGAGCCATGCCATGCCAAGCTAAGCCATGGTGGATGGCAGCATGTGGCACTGGCCACTGCTGAGCCGTGCGAGGCAGCGCTGAGCCAGGCCAGGCCCATCCACCCCAACCCCACCACGGGTGCCAAGCCACACTGTGCCGTCGGCAGGCGGGTGCGGGGGGACGTGCCCCCTCTTGCCCATGGAGGGGCGGCGCGGCCGACGGCCCCCGGCACAGGGGCCCATCCCCAAGCCGGCCACTCCCTGCGCTTGGGCAGCCGCCAGCTGGGGCTGCCTCGGCAGGCAGCTGGGAACGGCCCCGGAGCAACTGGCTGCGGAGCCGCCCCAGCCGCTGCCGAGCAGGCCCGACCGGCAGGGCAGGCAGCAGCCGCCCCTGAAACTGGGAGCCGGGCAGTGCCGACCGCCTGGGATGGGATGCTGGCGCCAGCACCCATGGCCGAGCCCCCCTCCTTGGCAGGAGCCCGTCCCACCACTGGACGGGGTCCTCTCTGCCTGCTGAGGCGGGGGTGAGCGGATTAGGGGTGATTAAACCATCAGGGCCCTGGGAGCCAACAGGCAGCGACAGCCCCTGGTGGGATTAGGCAGGATTAAACCGTGGGGGCAGGATTACTGGGGGGGGGGGGCGAGTACCCCATGCCACAGCTTGGGCGGCTGGAGAGGGATGACAGGGACGTGGCACCTGCCAAGGGTGGCCCAGAGCTCCACACATCCCCAGGGTTGTCATGGGTAATGGTCACGGGATGGGGTGGTACCACGTCCTCTGTTGCTGCCTCCCCTAGCGATGGCGTAACAACAGCCTCCCTCCTGCCCCAGTCCCCACAGCATCTCCAGCCCCCCAAGACAGCTGGGAGCTCACAGGACTCTGACCCACTGGCACGTGTCTGTGGGGGTGCCTGGGCACAGGGCAGCAGTTGAGGCCCTGTCACACTCCAGCAAGGTGGCAGGGTGCTCCGAGGAACGGGCACAGCCTCACCATGTCACAGTGCAGGTGGGCACAGCCCCAGTACTGCCAACACCACAGAACACACCAGCAGAGGCAGGTGATGGAGCTGGGACCCCCGTGAGCAGCCACGGGGCCAGAAGCCAGCGGACACAGCAGGGCCAGGGCAGGGCGGGGAGGAGGTGGCAGTGCCGGCGGGCAGGAGGGGGATTTTCCATCGCACCAAACCACCCGCTACGGCTCCTTCGCTGACACCCCCACCCTCCCCCTCCGCACATCCTCCTCACTGGAGCGAAGTCACATGCTGAGCGGGTGCTGCCGTCGAGGAGATCACCGCAGCGATAAGGAAACGGCAGGGGGACGAGGTGTGAGGGGGCCGGAGGCACCCCCAGCCCCCCCGGCCAGAGACAGCACCTGAGGGAGAGCAGGTGGCGATGCCCATGGCCCACCGTGCCGGGGCTCAGTTATGTCCATGCTGTGGCCAGGCACGTTTCAGCTGCAGCAGCCTCAAAGGGCTGAGTAAAGGGGGGGTCACTCCCCACGCTGAGCTGGCTCCCATGCAGGGCAGGTTGGCAGCAGGAACAATGCTTGCCTGGGTCACCCTGACATCCCTCAGCCGGCCTGCACTGCCTGGCACAACCATGACCAGCCCCCTTCCACCTGCCAGCCCCCTCCATCCTGGGGGCCCGGCCACCCCAACAGAGCCATGGACAGTGGGGTGGGGGTCTGGCCGTGTAGCACCCATCATGCATGGGGACAGGCTGTGTCCCATGCCACCAAGTCAGGATGGCATGCGCAAGGGCACAGTGCCAGCCTTTGCTGAGCACTGGCCACAGCTTGGGGACAATGGAAGATGTGGAGTGGGAGGGGGAGCCTGGGGGGGTCTCCCCACCTGCTCCCTTGTGGGGAAGGAGGGCAGAGGTCCTGGGGAGCACAGACCCCACCCTGGGCTGCTGCCAAGTGCTGCTGCTTTCAGTCACAAGTTGCAAATGCTGTCGAGGGACTTCATAGCCACACTGGGGAGAATGAGTCACCCAGGAAGGGGAGTGCAGTGCAGTGTTGCCCCGGCCCCCAGCCCTGCAGGGCCCCTCACCCTTTGGGAGCTGGGATGGTGTCCAGGCTGTGAACCCCGCCCCCCCCCCACCACTGCCCTGCCTGGAGCCAACTGGGAGCAGCAGCGGCCCTGGCGCCGGTGGCCACAGCGAGGGGGTTGGTGTGGCTGTGGGGCAGGGGTTGCACAGCCCCTCTGCCTACCCTGCAGGGGAGGTGGCGGCCAGGGCCTGGCCAAGCTGGTGACCCTATGGCAGGCACATGCCAGGGGTCCCATTGCTGGAGGATGTGGGAAAATTGGCACTGCCCTCTGAAAGAAGAAGAATGAGGAAAGAGAAAGGGAAAATGGTTTGGAGAGGGAAGAGGATAAACAGAGTCCCCCAGCCTACAGCATTGAGAACGACCCCTGTGGCACCGCTCAGCTTCCCACTGGCCAGCTCACACAGAGAGCTCCCAGTAGGAGAGCTCCCAGTGCCTGAGCACCTTCAGCGTCTCCCAGGCACAGCTATTTGCTGCCGCCATGGCACACCAGCCATCGGCACTGCGGAAGGGGGTCGGAGCACTGTGGCCTAGGGCTGCCTCAGCACCCAGCTGGCACCGTGCCGGGGCCCCGGTGCCAGCCCAGCACGATAGCAGCCATGGAGGCTGGGCACAGGCATCCCTGTCACAGCAGAGCAGGACCGGCAACACTGCCAGTGCCAATCCCGGCACCTGCAGCAGGGACAAGAAGCAGAGCCCCCATGCCATTCCCCGACCCACTGGCACTGTGCTGGCATCCCGGCCCTCTCCTGCTGCCAAAACCTTTCCTGCCACCACATCTGGCTGTCCGGCATTGCCACTGTGGGGTGTGGGCCCTGCTCTGCCAAGCCAAGGTGACCCAGATCTCGCCACCTGTCCCTTCCCGTCCCATCCTATCCCATCCCAACCCACCGGAGCAAAGGCAGCGTAGGCTCAGGCAACACCGGCATCCCAGCAGCCTCTTGGCTGGCGCTGAAGTGGCTGGCCCAGCTTTTCTAGAGCCCAGTGGTGCCACACTGGGACCCCAACTCCCTGGCACCTTCCTCGCCGGTGATGGCGGAGGGGTGCGTGGCTCACCTGGCCCGTGTCCTGGCGTGGTTCGGCGCTTTGTCGCAGCCGGGCTGGCGGCCCGCGAGCGGCAGGGAGGGGAAGGCACGGTGCTGTGTGAACTTGGCCCCGCTCCCCACTGCACTTGAGCTCAGGATCCCACCTCAAAAGGAGTCGACGCCCACACCCCGGGTCACGCACCTCCCAGTCCCGCTTCCCAGAACACACACGGCATTAACCCTTTGCGGCCGGTGCTGTGTCGCAGGGCACCGGCCCAGAACCAGGCAGGGGGCATCCCCTGGCCCACTCCCATGGGAGGAAATGAGAACACCACAGGACAGGCACCCCACAGCATAAGCATCCCTCTCCTGCCACCAGCATTGCCTCCAGGCCACCTGCCCCTGCCCCCCGTGCTGAGGCATCACACGGCCCTCACCTTCTGTGCCACCCCAAGGCAGGGCACTGGGTGCTCCCCGCTGGCCGTGGCCGGCCCAGCCGAGCCAGGAGGGCGCCTGCGCTTGGCAGGAGCAGGGCTGCCACCACAGGGCTGGGCTGGGCGAGCGTGCTGTGGCCTGCCCAGTCAGCCCCAGAGCCACCCCTCGGCCCTATGGATTTGTGTCCTGCTCTACCCTGGGAGAGGGTTCCCGAGGTCCCACGGGGAATGTGGGATGCGACGACGCCTGGCTGGACTGTGCTGCCTGCTCCCCTCCACTCCCCTAGGCCGGGGCACCCGTGGGCCCCCCTGGCCAGGCTGCAGGTTCGCGCAATCCCCCCCATAATTACACCCTCTGTGTCCCCAGCTAAACAGCAATTAGCAGCCCGGAGAGCGCGCCCCACACCCCACCGCTGGCACCAGCAGCCGCCCAGGCCACCCACGCCAGCCCAGCCGGGGGCACCTGCACCACAGCACCCTGGCATGGCCCCGGACAGGCCCCGGGCACCGTGCCGGTGCCACTGGCAGCTGGAGGCCAGCAGAAAAGGGAAGAGCCCCACACCAGCTGGGTAGTGAGGGGCCTCCAGCCCAGCCCCAGCAATGCTCACAGAAAGAGCTGCGTTGTGCAAGAGCCCACAGGCGGGCAGAAGGGACGACAGGCGGGCAGAGGGGCAGTACCAGCATGCCCTGGCATGGCATCCCACCTCCCCCATCACCATGGACTGTGTGCTGGGCAGGAGCCAGCTGTGGGGCCATGGGTCAGCCCAGTGCCTGGAGTGCAGGCAGTGCCCAGCCTGGGGCAGCAGGGCTGCAGGCAGCACTGCCCACCGCGCTGCCACACTGCTCTGGGATGACTGGCTGCCCCAGTGTGGGGCACAGCGGAGGGCACAGTGTCCCTGGGAGGGAGGGAGGGAAGAAGAGAGGAAGGGAGGGAGGGATGCAGCACCTGCTGCCAACCCTTCACCTGCCCTTTGTTCCCCATAAAGGAGGGGAATGGCGCCAGCCCCCCTGGCCCAGGTGTGCCAGGTGCTAAGGGCGGGAGATAAGGTGGGCGAGGCGGGCAGGGAGGGGCACAGCATGGCATGGGCACGCAGCCCTGAGTCAGGGTTCCTGCTGGTGGCCAGGCCCCACTGGGGTGAGTCACCATGGCCCCCCCACCCTGAGGGTGTTGCAACCGCCTCGGCGCTGGCCACGAACTGCTGCTCACCCTGGCTGGGGGGCATTGGGCAGCCTACCGGGGGATCAGGTGGGGAGATGCTGGCCTTTGGGGACGATGGGCTGACCTTCATCCATCCCTCCATCCTCCTCCAAGCTCCGCCCTTGCCTTGGCACCCGGACCAATGTCACCAGTGATGGGACATGGCCTCATCCCAGCTCCTGCACGGCAGTGGCTCCTCTCCTGATGGCAGGACAGGCAGCCCAGCCATGGGCATCCCCATCTCCTGCATCGCACCCTGACCTGATCTGCCAAGGCAGGGGGCTCCATGGCCACATGCTTGCCCAGATGTGGCCAAGGCCATGTGGCCCCTGGGGGTCACCCCCAGGCTCCCTAGCGTGCCAGGGAGAGGTCACACAAGGCTGGACATGGGTTGGCCCTGGCTGCTCCGTGCTCAGGGACATGGCAGGAACAGACAGGGGGAAGGAAGGAGGGAAAGAAGGAAGGGAGGAAGGAAGGAAGGAACTCGGAAGGAAGGAACACAGAAGGAAGGAACAAGGAAGGAAGAAAAATGACACCTGACAGCCAGGGGGACAGGACTGCAGTCAAAGTGAGTGGCTCTCAGAGGGGCCCCAAGCCCAGCCAGTGCTCAGGCCACTCCTGCCAGCACCAAGAGAAGCATGGAGGAGCTGGGCATCCTGTACGGCCCAGCCTGGCCAGGACCCTACTGAGATGGAGCCAGACTCAGCTGCTCATGTGCCTCCCTGCAGCCCAGTCTGGGCACAGTTACTGGTGGCAGCAGGACGAGGCTCTGCCAGCCCCCAGCCTGGCACGGGCAGGCTTGCCTGTGGCTGGGCCTGCTCGCTGGCCCCAGGGTGAGCCAGCTCTGGAGCTGCTGGTCCTGCAGCAGTCATGGGAGCCCCTTGGAGAGCAGCCAGACTGCCTCGGTCCCACCACACTGCACAGCCCCAGGAGGTCCCCTGGGCTGGTGGCACCTCCTAGTCAGCACAGGGTGTGTGTCCTCACAGCACCTCGGGGACTGAGCACTGCCAGCGGTGCCGGCCAGGCCCCAATGCTCCATCCTGGCACTGCTGTGCTGGTCTTGGTGGGGTCACTCAGCAAGGACAGTGCCAGCCCACAGCCCCCCCCTTCATACCCCCCAAAATAGCCCGGCTTCCGCCCCCACGGCAGCTGCCTGCTGCCAGCTCCCCGCTGCCCACGGCTGATCCCAGGGAGGGAAGGGGGGCAGGCGGCTCTAATCCCCCCCCAAGCCCATGCAGCACTGCCAGCGGGGACATGCCCGCCACAGTCACTCTGACCCATCTAACACCACTGGGGAGACCCCAGCCAGCCCTGCGCTGTGGGGAGGGTGATGGCCCCGTAGCTCCATAGTGGAGCAGGGCTCGGGACAGTGTCTGTGGAGCTCCACTATGGGACACACGGCTGTCCCCAAGGCCCACCGCAGCGGCTGCCTTGGCACCACCCACGCAGGAGGGGTAGGAATCCCTTCTCCTTTCCTCCTTGGCCCTGCAGCGGGGCAAAAGCTCCTGCCCATCCTTGCCCCCAGCCCTGTGCCCCCAAGGATGCCCACGGGAGGAGAACTGAAACAAAATTGCTGGGGTGCCACCGTACCCAACACATGCCAAGCAGCCCAGCTACGCTCCCCATCCCACCGGTGTCTGGGGTGGGCAGTGCCTGGCACCCTCCCTGCCCGGGACCCAGTGCCTGGCGGCAGGACCCCCTTACTCACCGCCCACTCCGGCCACTGCCCATGGGGCCTGGGGACACGGCAGGGACAGCCAGGCAGAGTGGAGCACGCAGTGCAGCCGAGGCTGCCAGGAGAGGCCAGAGCTCGCCTGACCTACTTCTCCTTCCGCATCACCTGCTTTCATTTTCCCTCACCCCGGCTGGTCCCCCCGCCCGCCCGTGGCCCCGCCAAGTCACGCCACCAGCTCTGGGGACACAGGGCACCCAGGCCCCGTGGCTCCCACTGCACCAGTGTGCATGCCAACTGGCCGCCCATCCCTGGGCACGGAGCATGGCCAGGCACCAGGCACGCTGAAGGTCACTGGCCACAGCCCTGGCATCCCCCCGCTGCCTGCACGGCCACCCAAGCGTCACCTTCCTGGCACAAAGCGAGTTTGACGGGTCTCAGCCCAGCCCCTCGCCGGGTCCTCTGGCCACCCCGGGGCTTGCTGGGGTGTGGACACGCAGCTCCCGGGGCATGTCGGGGACGCCAGCGCTGCCACGGGGAGCCAGGCGGGCGCCAACCCTCCAGACGGGGCGGCCGCTCCCGCCGGCACCCCGCCGGCTCCCGCGGTGGAGTTACCATGGGAAGGCGGCTGTGGTGGCGCAGGGGGAGCGCAGGCTCCCGGGGGCTTCCGCCAGCAGCCTGTGCGCTGCCAGGAGAAATTTCTCCCTGGTTTCATCATCCACCGCCTGCCCCGAAGGAGAAGTCCCTGCTCCACGCACGGGACAGCAGCCGCCTCCCGGGGGCTTGGGGGGCCCATGGGGCCTGGGGACACGGCAGGGACAGCCAGGCAGAGTGGAGCACGCAGTGCAGCCGAGGCTGCCAGGAGAGGCCAGAGCTCGCCTGACCTACTTCTCCTTCCGCATCACCTGCTTTCATTTTCCCTCACCCCGGCTGGTCCCCCCGCCCGCCCGCGGCCCCGCCAAGTCACGCCACCAGCTCTGGGGACACAGGGCACCCAGGCCCCGTGGCTCCCACTGCACCAGTGTGCATGCCAACTGGCCGCCCATCCCTGGGCACGGAGCATGGCCAGGCACCAGGCACGCTGAAGGTCACTGGCCACAGCCCTGGCATCCCCCCGCTGCCTGCACGGCCACCCAAGCGTCACCTTCCTGGCACAAAGCGAGTTTGACGGGTCTCAGCCCAGCCCCTCGCCGGGTCCTCTGGCCACCCCGGGGCTTGCTGGGGTGTGGACACGCAGCTCCCGGGGCATGTCGGGGACGCCAGCGCTGCCACGGGGAGCCAGGCGGGCGCCAACCCTCCAGACGGGGCGGCCGCTCCCGCCGGCACCCCGCCGGCTCCCGCGGTGGAGTTACCATGGGAAGGCGGCTGTGGTGGCGCAGGGGGAGCGCAGGCTCCCGGGGGCTTCCGCCAGCAGCCTGTGCGCTGCCAGGAGAAATTTCTCCCTGGTTTCATCATCCACCGCCTGCCCCGAAGGAGAAGTCCCCGCTCCACGCACGGGACAGCAGCCGCCCCTCGGGGGCTTGGGGGTGCAGCGGGGGCCGCGCTGGCCCCGCATCCCCCGCTGCCGCCCACTCCCCGCCCCCGCGTGCTCAGGCCTGTCGCGCTCGTGCCACGTGTGCACTGAGGGTGCACGGCACCAGCTGGCAAAGCCACGCTGCCACAGCCCTGGGCTCAGCACCGCAGCGCTGGGGGCAGCCTGCGCCCGGGCAGGGGGTCTTGGAGGGTCCTCAGGACCGAACATCGGTTGTGTGTGTTCTCCCCCACACCTGTCACCTTCCCACGCTAACCTCTGCACCCCCCGACCCCAGCAGGGGCACTCCCAGCCTTGTTGCCTCCTACTCTGCGCTGCCCCAGAGTTTCCCCTTCTCCGCGCACCCGCTCCAAGTTCCTGAGCTCAGTCCCTCCCTCTGTCCCCGGCATCATCACCGCAGCCTTGAGCCGCCGCAGTCTCCGCGTGCCTCTGCCAGCGCGGGGGGTCCCAGCGCGCCCCCCCCCCCCACCGGCCCTGGTGGCTGGAAACTGAGGCACGGGGCAACTCACCCCACGGCACAGCCGGCACTGCGTCCCCTCGCCAAGCGAGCACGGCCACGGGTCAAGGGCGGCTGCAGCCCAAGACGTGGATCTGCTCCGGCGGGAGGGTAAATACCGCACCCCGCCCCGGGCAAACAGTGGCCGGGGGCAGCCAGCCAGGGGGACGAGGACAGGTACGGCAGGGCTGGGCGCACGGGGCAGAGTCCACCGGTGTTCGGCAGGTGCTACCAAGGCACCGATGCCGGTGGGGACCGCTGCACAGCCGAGCAGTGAGCCGCCGCTGCCAGCGTGCAGGCCCGGGGGTCACCGGCGTGGCACAGCGTGTCGGGACACGGGGACACCCTCCAGCTCTATCGACACCGCTGCAGTGGGGGGTCCCTGAGCTGCCTTCCCCGTGCGGCGGTGCCGTTCCTGCCCGGTGCACCAGGGACGCCGCCAAGCTGCTCACCAGGTTGGGAAGGGCAGTGGGACGGTGGCAGTTCTCAGTCACCCGTGGGTGACCCACGGGGGATCTTGGCTGGATTTGGCAGCACCGCAACAGGACCCCAGCGGAGCCTTGGCAGCCGCCCCGGCACGTAGCGGGGACCTGCCGGTATCACCGATTTCCCGCAGCCCTGTGCGCAGCCACCGGGAACAGCCCACGAGTGACAACCCCCCCCTCCCGCCCCACGGGCGACGTGTCCACCAGCTCCGGTGGTGAGCGGAGACGGAGGGGACACCGCGCGGAGCCCCGCGAGCCGGCCGTGCCCGCCCACCGCCCGCAGCATCCCGGATCCACGCGACTCACCGCAACCGGGCGGCAAAAATCGGTCGCCGCGCCGTTCCCGGTCCCGCTGCCAGTGGGTCGGTACCTCCGCGCAAACCCCCGCCGGTGGCTCTGTCCGCTCCCCACCCCACCGCCACTCACCTGCGCGCCCCGCCCGAGCCACGGGCCGCTCCCGGGGCCGCGGCCCCGCCTCCGCCTTCACCTGCCGCCGCCGCGCCCCGCCCGCTCCACCCCCGGGCCGCCGCCGCCGCCGCCGCCGCCGCCGCCGGGGCTCCAGGAAGCGCCCGCCCCCGCTCGCCCATTGGGCAGCGCGCCGGCGCTCGCGCGTCCGATTGGCGGGCTGCCCCGTCAATCAGCCCCGCGCCTCGCCCCCGTGAGGGCGGGGGCCGCGCGCGCCCCCCGGGACCGAGGGGGAGCTGAGTCAGAGCCGGGAACGGGGCTCGGCTCCGGAGCTGGAGGGGGGGGAACAGCCCGGGACGGCCCCGGCGGCGCCGAGCGCGGTGCCAGGCGCCGAGCGCGCTCCGCCCGCTGCGGCCGCCCCGAGTCCCGGGGCCGGCACGGCACGGCCCGCTCCGCCCCGTGGGTACGGGGAGGGGGCGGGGAACCGGGCACGGGGTGGGGGTGTGAGAGCCGAGAAGTGCGCACCGGAGGGGGAGTTCGGAGTACCGGGAAACTGAGCGTGGCGGGGAGGCAGAGAGGTGGAGAGCCGGGCTTGGGGACCCGGGCACCGAGCAGCGAGCGCTGGGAGGGTTGGAATGCCGGGCACGGGGGGATGGAGAGCTGGACACGGAGAACGTGGCGCCGGGGGAATTCGGGCAGCGGGCGGCGCGAGGGGCAGCCCACCGTTCCCGGCGGCGCTGGAGCGAGCGCGGCCCCCCAAACTCCCCCCAGGGGCGGCCCCTCCGCAGGTGCCTGGGCGCGGGCCCCGCGCAACCTGTTTGGCCGCTGCCGGCCCCGGGAGGCAGCGGCGGCCCCGAGGCTCACCTCGGCTCACCCCGACCCCCCCGCGCCTGGCTCGGAGCGCGGCCGCTGCCCGGCACTGGCGGAAAGTGTGAGGAGCCGCCGCCGGCCCCGGGGCTGCCAAGGCAAACACGGCCCCGCGCAGACGTTATGTCAGCGGGCGGGGGGGCGGCGGCGGCGGGAGCAGGACCCCCACCCACCCTCCCGCCGGGCCCCAGTATCGGGCACCTGCCGCCGCGTCTCGCCCGGCCGTCCGCCCGCTTTGGTCCGCCCAGCTCCGTCCGTCCGTACACCTGCATCCCTGCCGGGGTACCGGCCCGCCGGACTCGCGGCTTCGCGGGCGGCGGGGGCGACCCGCAGAACCACCTCCCGGCCCCGCTGCTCCCCGCCCGCCCTCCCGGGCCGCCGCTCGCCCTCCCGGGCCGCCGCTCGCCGTGGCCGCTGCGCTCTGCCGGTGCGGGCGGCGGTGCCCCCGGTGCCGCTCCCCTCGACGGCGCGGCCGCACTCACCTCTCGCGGCAGGGCCGGGGCGGGGGCCGCAGGCTCAGCCGGGCCGGCGGCGTGGCAGGAAGGACCGGGTGGTCATCGCGGCCCACGGCGGCCGCCTGCAGAGGGCACTGCCGGTCCCCGGAGCCGAGCCCCGTGGGCGGCACCGACACGCGTGGGGTCATGGGGGGTCTCTTGGTGCCGGCGGCACCGTTTATTGGGGTAAAAAACAGCAGACGCGGCATGGGAATTCCGGGACCACCGCGGCTGCGCTAACCCGGAACAGCCCCGCTCTGCCACGACGGACGAAGGACCCCCCGAGCCCGGCAACCCCACCCTGGGCGACTCTGCACTGACCCCCACCCCAGGGGTGCTCACCTGCTCCCCCATTCACTCCAGCTGTGCTCGCCTGCCCCAGCACCTGCCCCACACCCATCCAGCTGTTCCCTAACCTGCCCCACACCCATCCAGCTGTGCTCACCAGCCCCACATTCCAGCTGTGTTCACCTGCTCCACACCCATCCAGCTGTGCTCACCTGCTCCCCGCTCCAGCTGTGCTAACTTGCCCCACACTCATCCACCTGCCCCATATCCCAGCTGCACTCACAGCCCCACCCCACGCCAGCAGTGACAGTTCGCTTCCTTTCCCCTTGCTTGCTGTGACACCCAGGCCCGCAGCCCACCTCCTGCCCCCCACTCTGTCCCACCTCCCTTCTCTCTTGCTTCTCCCAACCTCTTCTGCTCTGGCTGCCACCCCCTGAGGCCTGGCCTGGGCAGCGGGGAGTCCTGCCTCATGCCTTGCTTTTTTTTATAAAAATAGATAAATTAATATATATTTAACTATTAAATAATAAAATTAAAAGAGAATACGTTAAATAGCGCCTGTGTCACTGAAAGCCCCATGGTTGGGGGCAGCAGGTGCTGACAGGGTGGTGAGCCAGGCATGGGGGCACTGTACCCCTCCCAGGCCTAGGGCAGAGGGTCCCCAGAGTCAGGACAGTCCCGCTGCAGCATAGCCCTGGAAGGCAAAGGCCAGAGGGTGGTGGAGGAGCCCCCCTGGCTTGTGCACCTGCTTTTGGGGATCCCCCCACTGGCATCCCCCCACTGGCCCCAGCCCCTCAGCGCAGCTGGTTCAGCAGGACCTCAAGCCAGCACGGGCAGGAGGTGATGAACTGCCGGGAGTAGCAGGGTCCCCAGCCCTTGGCAAAGCTGATGCGGATGCTGTGGGGGTCGCAGGGCCCCTCCCCGGGGAGCCGCCAGCCCCCTTTGCCCCCCACCTGCTCATAGTCAAACACCTTTGCCGAGTAGCCGGGCAGGACCTTGAGGACAGTGAGCCCGCGGGCCCCAGGGGGGCTCAGGGTGGGCGAGCTGACGAAGATGGGGTGCTCACTGCGGTTGTAGGCCCAGATGCCGCCTGGCTCCCGGCTCAGCAGCAGCCCCCGGCCGATCTTGCCTCGTGCCCGCCGGACAGCGCGGCTGCGGTGGGCAGCCGGCAGCTGGGCCAGGCAGAACCCGCTGCCCCACGGCAGCTCACAGAAGACATTCACTGATGCCTCATGCACGGCGTAGAGGTGGCCCACACGCGTCCGGTGCTCCCAGTAAGCCAGTTTGCACCAGCAGCCATCCTTGATGGTGCTCCGTGAGAGGCTGGTGTCTGGCAGGGGAGAGCAGAGCTGTCACTGTGACCAAGCCATGCAGCTGGATGGGCCCAGGGGAGTGGGCTCAGGGGGGCTGCGGACAGAGGGGTGTACTGATGCCCCAGGGATGCCTCAGCACAGGCTCTGGCACTGGGTGGGAGTCACTGGAGCTGTTCCTGGTCCCCAGGGACCCTAGTGACGGGTGGGGGGTGCGGGGGGAAGAATGTGTGTGTGGTGGCAGCTTGGCAGCCCTGGTGGCCAGCAGCCAGGCAGGAGCCGTGGCTGTGTGCGTCAAGGCACATTGTGTGTGTCCCCATAGGCAGTGCTTCCTCCAGCGAGGAGCCTGGCGCCGCCAAAAATAACAGGAGCTGCAGTGGGGGGGCTGGGCCCAGGCTGCTCTCCCAGCAGGAACCCCGCATCCCATGCTGGAGCCTTTTCCTCCTGCTGGGAGTGGCTACTGGCTCCGTTCCCTGGTTTTCAGGTTCTGTCCCCTCCAATCTTTGCTCCTGACTCAGGGGTTCAGTCTTGCCCAGTGCCCTCCTGTCCTCTGGGTGTGGCACACACAGTGTGGTGGGACCCTCTTACCACGCCAGTCCCCACCTTTGTAGCTGAACTCCAGGAGCTGAGAGCAGGGGTGCTGGGGCTCGTCTGGCCAGGAGGGACCACAGGATGCCTTCGAGTAGGGGGGTGGTGGGGTCTCTGTGGGGGAGAGAGAAGGGAGTGAGGGCATTCTGCCCCTCTCAGAGGCCCCTGGAGCCCTAAGCGGGCCCCAGGGAGCAGAGGTGAGAGCCTGGGTGGGCGAGGGGGCCTCCGGTGTTGCCACCAGCACTCACCAGGTACAGCCAGGCGGCTGAAGTGGTGGGGGTTGCAGCAGAGTGCAGCCAAGTCCCCGCAGACACCCCGGCGCCCAGCGCAGTAGCAAAGGTGCTTGAGCTCGTGGGGCTGGTGAACATCGGGCCAGCGGAAGAGGCGGCAGAGCAGGACTTGAGGGGAGAGCCCCTGCTTGGCCCCTCGCACGTCCCCCCGGGGTGCCCAAACACAGCTGGACTCCCAAGCGCCCCGGCTCTCCACTGCCTGCACCAGCAGCTCTAGCTCCTCGTCCTTCAGCTTCTTGAAGAGGGCATGAGCTGCCGGTTTGAGGGTGCTGGGGCCGTCCTCAGGGCCCGCTGCTGCACAGCGCTGCCGCCACAGCCGCCGCACCAGCCCCGCGCGGCGCGAGCGGAACATGGGGCAGCGGTGGGGACGACCTGCAGGACAGGGACAGGCGTCACCTCCTGCACTGCCAGAGGGCTGTGGCTGCAGGGGGTCCTGGTGAGGACCTGGTGCATCCTCCTGTGTCCTCCCATGAGGCTGCTTTGCCCGGGTTTGCTGCTGCCTGTGCCCCACATTGCTGCCGTCCCCACCACAAGGGCCCGGCCCCACTTCAAGGGGTACTGGCATCCCTGAGATCACATCAGACATGACTCCAAAGCCAACCCCCCACTGCTGGGGAACCTGCCTGTGCTGACGGTCCACGTTTCCCTGCCCACAGCACCTGCCCGCTCCCCTGTGGCCCCACTGCGGGGCTGGGTAAGGGGTCCCCGGGGGAAGGGGTCTCACTCACGGTGGGTGGCGGAGGAGGGTGCGAGGCTCCGGGGCGGCGCATGGGGCTGTGCTCTCAGGGTGGCCGGCACTGCTCTGCCGGCCGTGCGTCACTGCCTGCACTTTTTCCTGTGCCGGGATGCTCTCCCCTCCCCCGGACCTCCCTGTTTGGGGAATTCACTGATCCCCCCCCTCCCGGCCAGCCCCGGGGCTGAACCACTGTCAGGGCCACCACACCAGGACGGGGCAGGCACCAGATGCATGGGCTTTAGTAGTCAGGGATGCCCAGCACTGTGCTACCAAGGCAACTGGGCACAGCTGGGAGCCCAGACAGCAGCACAGACCACACCAGTTCACACTCACGGGGCAGGGTCCAGCTGGAGGAGCTGATCTGGGCAGGGGGAAGTCATGTGGCACAGCAGCAGGGCACCATGCTGGCAGACCCCATTCCCACACATGTCCACACAGGGGTTGTAAGGACCACCTAAGCCCCTCGTGGCACCTTGGGCAGGGGTCCCTGCCTTCCCATAGCCCTCACCCCAAGCAGGGCCCCCCACTGCAGGCGCTGGGTGAGGGTGGGAGCCTGCTCCACAACAAAAGAGCTAATGTAAACGGGACCCTTATCCCGTGCCGGGCCAGGCTTCCTGCTCCCGACTTCCCGCTGAGATAAGGGAGGCCACACTGGCGCCAGCGCTGCCGCCGAGGATGAGGACGGGGCGTGCGGAGCCTTCCCTGTGCCAGAGCCAGGCACCAGCACAGGCAGCATCAGGCAGAGTGGGCTCAGGGACCCACGGCCACCCCCACAGTCACGTCCCAATGCCACCAGCCATGACCTTCGATGCAGCTCCCAGCTGGGCTGGGCCCATTGGAGACACTTTGCTCTGGCTGCTTCCTGTGGACTCTTGGCAGCACAGGGTTGGGACATGAAAGGGCTGGAGGGGGCGGGGGGGGAAGCAGGAGGTACTGGAGAGCCCCAGCTTCCCTCTCTTTCTCCTTGGCCCCAGGGGATGTGGGGACCCTCAGCCCTGGGCAGGGGCGAGGGTGGGGCTGGTGTGCCTTGGTGCTACCCAGGGCGAGGGTCAGAAAGTTTGGGGACAGACACACGCACACACACACACACAAACGCTCCCAGAGCTCTGCCCAAACAGATGCAGCCAGTCAGGCTCTGCTCAGGTTTTACTGGGGTCTATGACTGTGGGGAGTGCAGTGTCCCAGCGCCGGGGGTCTGTCAGCTCCATCAGCACGTGGTGACAAATGCAGTCCTGGGGAGGGCAGAGAGGCACAGCGGGTGAGGACCCACTGACCAGCACCAAGGCTGCACCCCGTCAGTCCCCAGAAGCACCACAGCCAGGTCCCCTGTCAACCCCCCAGCACCATGATCATGACCTTTTCGCCCCCAGGAGCACCATGACTGGGCTCCATCACCCACCAAGCACCACGACTAGGCCACCGTCACACCCCAAACACCACATCAAGTGGGCAGCTGCAGGCAGGTCACTCACCCACAGAGCCAGGGCGGGCAGGGGGGTGCTGGAGGTCCTGCAGCACCGGAGGGGGGAAGGGGGCACTCCCTAGTCCAGCAGCTCCCGGATGCACCAGCTGCAGAGAAGGAGGTAGACGCACTCCCGCAGCAGCCGCAGCAGCCAGGAGCCCAGGCGCAGCCCCAGGGAGGCGGTGGTGGGCGCCGGCAGTGACAGTGCCCGTGGCCGTGCCCGCGGGGTCTGGAGGAGCTGCATGGCTGATGAGGGATCAGCTGGATCTGAAGTGAGGGGGAGAGGCAGCGGTGCTGACACACAGGGCCCTGACAAGCCCTGGAACCTGCTACATTCTCCATGCTTCCAAAACCTCCACAACAGTGGGAACAGAGAGCGGGAGGGCATGGCCTGGGGGCCCTTTTGTTCCTCCCACTCCTGCCACTGTCCCAATGGGGCCCTCAGGGCCCAAAGAGGCCACGCGCCAGCGCAGACCACAGCAGGTTCATTCAGTGCTGACGGGCAGCAGCTTTATTCAGTGTCATTCCTGGCAGCTTTCCAGAGGAGCCTCCCAGAGCGTGGCCCTCACTGCCGGGAGGTGCGCTCCTCTTCCTCGTTCTCCAGCTCGTAGGCAGGCCGGTAGCTCTCCCGGCCCCGAGCGTCGGT